TTTTTGTAGTACGCATTTTCTTTTTAAATATCCCAATGTAATTTTACTAGTTTTGTATTGAAGAAAATCTTGGAGAGAGGCCTTAGGTAAAGACCCCACTGAGAATGCCTGCAACCCATATTGAAATGCTAGAATTCAAGTCCCAGCTTCACTTCTGAGTGAAGCTTCGGCGACAACACTGATGGCTCACATAGTTGGGTCCCTGACCACCTGTGTGGAAAGCCCTGCTTCCAGAATCCCAGCTTTTGCCTGGTCCTCCCCTGGTGTTAGGGCATTCAGGAGTGAGATAGCAAATGGAAAATCTTCCTCTATCTCTTTCCCACTTGCTTCAGATAAAATGACAATAATGAGTAAAAAAAAACCAAAGACCTTACTTACCCGTATGTGTGTGTACACGTAAGAGAAATCACAGACGTGTTTAAAATGCTAACAGGGAGTAGAGATGATGTTTTCTGTCCTCTCCCCCCGCATCTCCCCCACCTTGCCTCATACAATCTCTGAATCCTTCTGAGGTCTCTAATGGGAGAAGGAACTTGCTGCCAGAGGAAGGGTCCTTTTCTACTTGTGCCCCTTCTGCACTGAGTCATACTCGAAAGGCTCAAGAGAAAGAATTGGAAGGATCTAGACAGCCACTTAATCCTGGGCCCTCTTCCTTCAATTCGGTTTAATGCCCTGTGAGTGATGAAATGACTACCTGGAAGCTGAGACCAACGTAGAAGGATGCAGGTAGGAAGCAGGCCGCACTGGGGCCGTGGAGCTTTGGTGACAGTGTGCGTTCAGAGCACAGCAGCAGATTGGCAGCTGGAGATGCAAGTACGAGGCGGTGATGGGAATTTGGGAGAATTATGAGTTGTCTAAGGTCCTGGTTAGAGTTCCATCTGGGACTGGAGCACAGGTGTCTTGCTCCTTCTCACCCAATTCGTCCTACCACATCGTGCTGCGAATGCCTCACTTAACTAGTTTGGACCCACTAGGACACTCACTAATGAAGCTGTGGTGCTGTGAGGATGGTGTAACATAGGGCCGCCATGCTGGGGAGGAAAAATACATCCAGAGAAATGGTGCCAGAATGGTGATTAAAAAAAAATTGTACTTATTCTATGATATCTGAAGATTGTGGGAGGGAAAGCATGCCCATTAATTTTCCAATCCTAATACAGCTATTTTTCTCTTTATATCCCATTTTTATCAAGCAGTCCACAAACATGATGCTTGTATGTTTTATGGTGGTGGTGTCACAGCTGACTTACTCCTTTATAGGCTGCTTACCTAGTACTGTCACAGAAATATCCCTTAATTCAGTCTTGTCTTTCTGGTCACCTTTTATTATGGCCAAGCAGGCATCTGAACAGTTGATGGGCTGGTTCTGACTTCCCATGGCTGGGCTGGACAGTTTTGTTTCCCTGCCTCTTTCTCAAGTTGACTGTATCGTGGAGACCCTCCCTGCACTTCCAGTCCTCTGCCTGTGTTGAATTATTGCCTTAGTTGGAGTATTTTCAGGGTCTGGCATGGTAAAGCCATGGGTAAAGCCACTGCCTATGTGGCCAGCATCCTATATGAGCACTGATACAACTACTGGCTGCTCCGCCTCTCATCCAGCTCCATGCTGAGGCACCGGCAGGCCCTGGCTCAAGTACTTAGGTGCCACTCACGTGTGAAACCTGTATGGAGTTCCTGGCTCCTGGCTTCAGCCTGGCCCAGACCTGGCTGTTGTGGCCAATTAGGCAGTGAACCAGCGGATGGAAGGTCTCTCTCTGTCTCTGTCTCTGTGTCACTTTGCCTTTTCATGTGTATATTTGAAAGAGGAGTCTTTCCAGGAAGGCTGTAAGGATTGCATGGTTTTTATTTTTGTCATGGCTATTACATGTCCACCTTTTCCTAGAAAGCAGCCACCACAGGCCCAGCATGATGGGTCAGTGGTTAAATCCTTACCCTGCAACTGCTGGGATCCTATATGGGTGATGGTTTGTGTCCTGCTGCTCCACTTCTCATCAAGCTGCTACTTGTGGCTTGGGAAAACAGTTGAGATGGTCCAAAGCCTTGGAACCCTATCCCCATGTGGGAGAACTGGAAGAAGCTCCTGGCTTCAGATTGGCTCAACTCCAGCCGTTGCGGTCACTTGGGGAGTGAGCCAGCCAGTGGAAGATCTTTCTCTGCTTTCTGTAAATCTGATCTGCCTTTCCAATAACAATAAATAAATCTTTAAAAAGAAAACCTCCACCTCTTTCCCTGGTGGCCAGCCAGGGTGTCCTCTTCCCATGAGCAGTGACTTCCTTTCCTCTCATCACTTCCTGACTCTTGTGTTTCCCACTTATGCCTCCCTACATTGCAGTTTCATTTTCTTTGAGAGAGAATATCCTTTTAATCTTCAGTCTTCTATCTTCTAGGTGTGGCCTACACTGCTTCTCCCTGTATTCTGTTTGTTAAAGAAAGAAACTGAATCCTTCCCCGAGGAGGTGCTGAAAGTTTCCACAGGCTGGATCTTGTGGAGGGAAAGGCGTGGGGAGCAAGCTGGAACTTGGGTGGTGTGCGTTCTCAGCAGGTGCACAATAGCTGGTTGTCTCCCTTTGTGATGTTAGCCAGTGGGGCCCAAGGCTTAGAGACTGCCAGTCATTAGGAATTGCCAACTGTTGATATTGCAGTTGTATTACTCTTCTTTTGTTATAACCAGTACATTAAAAACCCCACCCTTCTACTAGTTTTAATAGCTTTCTTGAGATTCATCGTTATTGTAGGCCAGGCATTTGATCCCAGTAGTTAAAACAGTCACATTCCATATGGTGCAGTTCAACACCTGCTCGAGCTCTTAACTCCTCCTTTTCTGCCAATGCAAACCCTGGGAGGCAGCACTGATGAGTCAAGTAGTAGGGTTCCTGTCACTCATATGGGTGACCTGGGTTGAATTCTTGACTCCCTGCCGCAGCTTCTGGGCTGTTGTGGCATTTGGGGGAGTGACCAACTGATGAGGACTCGTTCCATCTCTTGGAGTTGTCCATCTGTCACTCTGATCAATTTTAGAACATTTTTTTGCCACTACACAGCTGCTCCCCTTCCCACCAAACCTATTCCCCTTATCGTCCCCCAAACATGGAACCCCAAGCAGCAGTAACCCAAATTCTGTCTATACATATTTGTTTACTATTGACAAATCTTAGACAAGGAGTCATACAAGCTGTAGTATATGGCACCCTTCTTCATTCATGTAAGCAAGGTGTCATCCAGGTCAATCTATGTGTTAGCATGTGTGAGAAGTGTGGGTTGTGTGTGTGTACCCAAATAACCTTCTGTGGTGTGCATATTCTGTGTTCTGTTCATCTGTACACCAGCTGATGGACATTGCGGTTGTTTCCTCTTCTGGATTTGTTAAGGCTGCTAATGTGTATTCATTTGCAAGTTTCTCATGGTCAGATGTTTAATTTCACTTGCTTAAATGCTCAGCAGGTGTCACTTATGGTGATTTTGCAAGTGTATGAGTCTTTTATTTGAGGAGACGCTGGGCTGTTTCCACAGTGGAGGCACAGTTTCTACTCCCATTGGCTGTGTGTGGAAGGTTCCTTTTTCTCTGGCATTTGTTATTGTATCTTTTGTAATCTAACCATCCTAGTGCGTGTGGAGTGACATCAGATTGTGGTTGTGATTTGTGTTTGTTTCCCTAGCAACCTTGGTGTTTTTTTCCACATTTTCTTTGGCCATTTGTGTATCTGGGAGAACTGTACATATCCTATGCCCATTTGCTAGTCGAATATTTGCCTTTTTATTATTGAGTTGCACTAGGCGTTTCTGTAGTCTAGATAAGGAGTGTTGATGAGTACAGGATTTGAAAAAATATTATTTCTCATTCTGAGCTATCTTTATACTTTCTGACTTGTTTGGCATCCTTAGAAGAACAGAGGTTTGACATTTTGCTTTTTGTTGTTGCTGTTGTTGCTGCTGTTGTTTGTTCTTTTGGTGTCATATGTAAGAACTTATAACCTAGTCCTAAGTCATGGAGCACTGTGCTATGCTGAAACTCTGCAAGTTCTAACTCTTGTATGTAGGTTTCTGGGCCATGTTGAGGACATGTTTATATTTGCTACCATCTACTCTTCAGTTATTCATTGCTACAGTTAAGGGCAGGATCTGTGCAGACCTGCTCACTAATTTTCGAGGTAGGGAGTGGGTTCCCTAGTCACCCTCTGATGTTACTGTTTGCTTCCTTTGCTGTTACGACACTTGGGTTTAAGTGTGTGTGCAGTGTTGTGGTTTTTATCTGGGAATAGTCTTATATTCTTCTGGGGTAAATACTAGACTTCAGTCCTGCAACAATTTGTTATTGGGAATCTCCTCATTCTCAAAGAATGGTAGGGAGGTAGGCATGATTGGGCCTTTCATAAGAGCAAGAGTAGAAGCCTAAGGAAAAATGATTTTTCAGGGTCACACCTGCTCCTATGCGGCAGAGGCAAGACTTAATTGCTCCTGCCTTTGCCCTCTTTCCTGTGCTCTTGCCCCAAGTGTGTACCACACAGAACCCTGGAATGGACCTGGAGCTTGAGCTGGGCTGGACATCCTGTGTCCTCCAACAGCTCGTTGAATTTTTCCTGGGTGTGACTTCATATCCTGTGTCAAGGGGAAAGAGCCAAAAATCAAAGAATGAACAGATTCCCAAGACCACCTGCCTCGAGGGGCAGCCCAGGTACTGCTGTCCTACAGTAGAGCCCGTCCTAGCTTGCCTCAAGAAAGTCTGATTTTAGTAATGTTTAACCATCATTTGTGGGCAGCCTTTCAGAAGTCTTTTTTTTTTCCCAAGAAGGAACTAGCAGGAGCTAACAGTGGTTATTCAGGTTTTTAAACTTTATGCTATCTATATTCTTATATTGCATTTGAATTTCCTAAATCATGTGTTTGTATTGCACATACAGTGAGAGTAAATTTTTTAATTTGTGTTTATGTCTATGCAGTCTAGAGAGGCGTTTGGCCCAGGTGTTGCCTCCTAAATTTTAGTCTACTCGCTTGTCTTCCAGAAACATGCCAAGGGTCAGGATTTGTTTGATCAGATCGTGTACCATTTGGACCTCGTGGAAACAGATTACTTTGGCCTCCAGTTCCTCGACTCTGCCCAGGTGGCGGTATGTATTGCCTTGATTCATTTCAGTGCAAATTGGCTTTTCATGCTAATTGTAGATCCACATTTGCTAGAAATTGGTAGAGAAAAACAGGAATAAAACTGTGATATTGTAGCAGTAATGAGCGCTGGCATGGTGGTGCCCATTGGCTCCTCCCGCCCTTGAGATGGCCAACAGTTGGCAGAGGACAGGCACGGGCTGTACCGTGGATATGTTTTCCAGCTAAAGGATGCACTGTGAGCACGTTTCTAGAGGAGGGAGAAAGAAGAAATATCATTATGGAAATTCTTTTAATGGTGCTGCTTTTATTTTTAACCAGCAGAAGAGGCTGCGCCACCACCTTCTTGCAGATTCTGGCTGGTTAACGAGTGGGTGCTGTGAATGCCATTGAATTCCAGCCAGGCTCTGTGGGGTGCAGGGCAGGGGATGGTTAGAGCGGGTCTTGGCATTTCATGAGAACCATCTTGCAGGCTCCAGGAGGTGGTGTGTTAGGTCGATGAAGACTTGACTTGTTTTGCTCGAGATGAAACTGCAGCGGAGATGGCAGAATGAGAACTCCACAAAGCTCAAAACCACTTTTTTTTTTTTAGTGGAAATTACTTAATAGCCTCCTGTTCAAGAAAATCTAGCTTGGGGTTTTAAAGATCATGCATTTAACCATTTAAAAATTGACTGAGTGCCTGCAGTGCACTGGATGTTTTAAGCCTTGTGGATAAACCCGGGACACAGACGTGCACTCGTGACAGCTGGGACAGCAGTGGAGAGTGTAGAGCAAAGGAAGGGTAGTGCTGTGCGAGCCCATGTGTTCGAGGTGGGTTGCCCACAAGGAGACCTGAAATGTCCCAGGCTGCTTTAGCCTCTCCCTTTGCCCGGGGAACACCCAGGTTCATCGGAAGGTGATGGTGTTCAAAATAGGTGCCTGGGAAGTGGATGCTGAAGAATGAGCGAGGGGCTGGATCTTTGGGCAGCAGAGTGAGTGAGATCTGGGTGGAAAGGGTGCTAAGGTGGACCCTGCCGCCAGAAGTCACGCACATATGCGACCTCTACACCAGCAACTTCCTCTAAGCTTTGAGAAGTGTGTCTGCCCAAGGCAAGTTCCCTTTTCCTCACCCACACTGTGCTCCTTGAATTGAGAGTCCCAGGACCTTCTCCCATTTCTCAGCACCAGACCCACTCCTGTCCTCCCACACTCCACAGTGGTCCCTGGGAGGGCACACCAGTTTCTCAGCTGCACACCCACTCCTGCGCCTCATGGTGGTCCCAGGAAGGGCACACCGATGTTTCCATTGCTGCCTCTTCCGTGCCGGTGTTTGTCCTTTGAGGTTGAGCTTCCTGGTATCCTGCCCCTTACCTAGCCTATGTCCTCTGTGTCTCCCCATTCCCTCTTTCTGCTAGGCAGTACAGGACTCAGGTCACTGACTCCTCTTAAGCCCCCTGGATGCTGTTTGCTCTCATTTCAGCTTCATAAAGCAAAGTCCAAACAGATGGCCAGCAGGCTCACATCTCCACTCACAGTGTCCAACCCTGGCCTTCCCCAGTTCATGGTAACTTCCTGTGGCCACATCTTTCCTGCCCTTTCCCTCTGGTCTTGGCCCTTAATGGTCCCTCCCACTGTAGTCCCTGCCCCCAGCTTACCTGCATCTCAACATGCAGCCTTTGGGTTTCCTGCCCCAGGGCTCCCCTTGACTCATGCACGGTCCAGGGCCCTTGTAGTTCCAGCGTGAGGCTGCAGCGGAAGCAGGAGACATGTCTGCTGCAGAGTCTTCTGTAGTTGGACCGAAGATGGCATCCATCATTGCTGCGCTGAGAGCCAAGCACCTACTGCCTTGCCGGCTTGTCCTCCTCCTCAGGGGATCAGCTTTAGCTCCTCAGATTCCCAGAAAGCCGAGCATGTGCCTCCGTGGTGAAAGGCTGTGCTCCTGCCCTCCACTGACTCGCCTGGCAGGCTTTGCATCCACCAATGCCCTCACCGTGTGGTAGGAGGGATGTTCACAGCAGGGCCCAGGCGCCCTTCCCAGGCCAGACGCCTGCAGGTGCTCAGACACTGCAGGGTCCTAAGGCTTGCCAGCAGCCTGCTGCCTGTACGGGAACTGCTTTTCCTCTCTACAGAAACAGGTGTGGGTCGGCCTCTACCTTTGACTTGGATGACACAAGGGGTGGACAGTGGTGGCAGTGGATCTCAGGTCCCCTCGCAACCCCAACCTGGCTTGTCATCTAGTCTTTGGTTTCTGAGCCGGGTTCCTTACAACTGCATTTTGGTGATGCCTGTGCTTCTCTCTGTTGCCTGGACTTGTGCAACTTTTGCGGCTGTCCTTCAGGTCATTCTGATGCCCCCGGCCCCCCGACAAGGTGTGTCCTGAACTCTGAAAGCGTTTTCCATGCACTGACACCTCCACATCTCATTGCCTTCTGTGGCAGTCAGCATGTGTGGCCTCAGGCTCCTTATCTTTGTACATAGACAAGCAAGCAGAATTTCTTACTGCATCCTAAGACTTCATACTTTTTCTCTCCCTAGTGACCCTGGAAAGTGAAGCACAAAACCCAGAACTGTCTTCTTTAGCCCCAGAAATGTTTTAGAGAGGCCTTTGTCAAGTCTACCCATCTCTGGAGATGAAACCAAACCTATCAGGCCTTGTTGGGCCACTTGCAGACTCAGGCTTAGCTCAGGTCATACAGTTGTAGGCCTGTATGCTCATCCCAGCATGCATGGCTCTCTGTCTGTTTCGTCAGCTGTAGCTAGGCAGTGGTGTCATGTGTCTCATGGGGAAATCCAGGAGGAGCTAAATGAGTCAGTGGAGGGAAGCGGCTTCATCATCTGGACTGTGGGGATGGGCTCTGTTATGGCCTGATTGGTGCTGCTGTAACAAAATACCTTGTGGAGTAGAGGCAGAATCATTCCCCAGTTGCAGAGGCTCCATTTGGCTGGCCTCTGGTGAGGGCCGTCTGGCTGCACATAGCCTGGTGGGTATGCACAATGAAAATGGCTGCCTGCAGAAGGCACTAAGTCCCGGGGGCAATCCTGCTGCATACCACTCTGCCCCGGGAAGAACCCACGCCCGCTGACCAGGCGGTAACCCTTTCATGAGGCTGGAGTTGCTATGACCTTTTTGCCTTCAACAAGGCTCTGCCTCTTGAAGTTTCATTCTCTCTCAACTCATCCACACTGACTCTAAGCTTCCTGCACAGGAACCTTCAGGCAGCAAACCCAAACCTCTTGTTCCTGGCTGGACAGGTGGAAGGGTCCGGGATATGCTTCTTGAGAAGGCCAGGTTAGCTGGAACCTGCAAGACCCACTTGCAGAATCAAACAACTGGTTGCTGGGCTGTTATTGATTCTCTTGGGGCCTGGGAGGAGACAGGATGTTGTGGGAGGTGTTTCTGGAGGGAGATAGGGAACAGATGGAAACCCAGAAGGGAATGTTTCCCTTGGCCATTGACTTATTGCTCCCATAATTGAGGCTCTTGCAAGATTATTTTAAGAAAGATTTATTTTTCTATTGATCTGAAAGGTGGAGTGACAGAGAAAAGAGAGAGAAATGTCCATCAGCTGATTCACTATTCCAAATGGCTGGAGTAGTTAGGTGTGGACCAGGAGAAAGCCAGGAGCTCCAGGCTGGGCTAAGTCCTTGGGCCATACTCTACTGCCCTCTAGGTGCATTCATAAGAAGCTGGAGAAGCAGAGAAGGTGGGCCTCGACCTGATAGTCTTCTCTGGGAAGCCACAGCACTAGACCCTCCTGCCAATATTGACACCCCCGCCCATCTACCCCACCCCACCCTCCCAGTCCTTGGTGTGCCAATGAGAGGGCTGGCAGTAGCAGGACACTTTGGCAGGGCTGACTGCATACCCAGCTTATATCCCCAGCTCGCTGAAAAAAGCCAGACCTGGTTTCCATAACGCCCCTGCCCAGCCCTGAAGCAACTGTCAAAGCTTGTTGGCATCACCTATTTTTAGCAGTCAGAGCTGGGACCTCCTGCTTTCCTTTTCCGTGTCAAAGCACGAAGGCCATCCGGGGACCCACTCAGCAGATCCCACTTTGGCACAGCTCAAAGCAGAGCCAGGAGACTGCTTTTACAAATCAAAGCTTTCTTCTGCACGCCAGAGGCGCTGGCCTGCATCCTTCTGGCCTTCCCGCTTCCTGGGCCGGAGAGCTGCTGTTTACAGAGCCCTCTCCCTGAGTGTGGCATTGAACTACAGGCTTCATGTATGGCCTGTTGAACATTCATCTCCAGTGTCTATGAAGGCAGCCATAAGGCAGACTGTTTTATAGGTGAAGCTAAGGTTTGAAGACACGAGGAACCTTTGGTTAAAGTGGAACAGAACTGGATTTAAGCACTTGGTCTCCTGAAGCTCAGTGCTTTCTGCCAGACTGTTCTGGACCATTTGCTTACCTGGTACATGTATGTACACACATGTGCATGTGCACAAACACACACATGCACAAGTAGAGAGAGAACTTCCCATCAGTGCTATTTGGCCAGCTTTGACCTGGAGCTTACTCAGTGTCCCAGTTCCTGCAGTTGTGGGAGTGAGTGGGACTCTGCCCCTTCGTGCCCCATGCAGCTGGAGACGACCACTGAGCAGTTGCTTGGAACACAGTGTGTTGTCTTTGAAAAGAAAGGGTCTGGGCCTGGCATGATAGCATAGTGGTTAAAGTCCTCTCCTTGAATGCGCTGGGATCCTGTATGGTCACCGATTCTAATACCGGAGGCCCCACTTCCCATTCAGCTCCCTGCTTGTGGCCTGGGAAAGCAGTTGAGGACAGCCCAAAGCTCCCATGTGGGAGACCCGGAAGAGCTCCTGGTTCCTGGCTTCAGATCAGCGCAGCTCCAGTCATTGTGGCCGTCTGGGAAGTGAACCATTGGACGGAAGATCTTTCTGTCTCTCCACCTCTCTATATGTCCACCTTTCCAGTAAAAAAAATAATAAAGTATTTAAAAAAAAAAAGAAAAGAAAGGGTTCTTCTGACTCCTCTGTGAGGCTGAAATGAATGTGCTGTCAAAG